TGGGGGGGGGGGGGGGATGGCGTTGATGCTAGGAGCGTTGATGGTAGGGAGAGTATTTATGGTGGGACCATTAGTGATGGGAGGGAGTTGATGATGGGGGGAGGGGTGGCGTTGATGCTAGGAGCGTTGATGGTAGGGAGGGTATTTATGGTGGGAGCATTAGTGATGGGAGGGAGTTGATGGTGGGGGTTGGCGTTGATGCTAGGAGCGTTGATGGTAGGGAGGGTATTTATGATGGGACCATTAGTGATGGGAGGGAGTTGATGGTGAGGGCGTTGAAAGTGGGCGTTGATGGTGGGGGGTTGATGTTGGGGAGCCTTTAAGCTTGTAGGATCAAGCTTTGGTTTCAAGCATTATTTCAAAATATTCATCTTGAATCTAAAAAAGTTTACTTCGTTAATAAAGAGGCGTAGCCCCTGCCCCCATTGGCTACGCTATTGTTGCCCCTTTCCTTTTGGAAAATCAGTAGTCTATTGTGATTACTGAGAGCAACGGTTGAAATGATGTTAGGTCTTATCATTTCAAATAATGAGGCTAAATCGTTTGTAGCAGATTAGAATCTTGCAGCATAACCATTACCAAAATAAGAATACGATAAAAAGTAGAGGGGTTTTACATTACAGTCAAGACAAAAAATAATGACATGTATGTGTTACATAATATCAAATATAATGTGCCATATGCTATAATATATCGAAAAGAAATATTCGACAAAATCTGTTTAAAAGGCCAGTCAAAATGGTCTACAAGCAACAACAAAATTAACATGAATCGAATCGAAAATCGGTAGAAATGTTTGGAGGATATTAAGTCCCGCCGTCCTTCTCTTGGCTTTCATCTTTAAGTTAAATTAATTTTGTACACATGTCTTCTTTACTTGGTATAGATACTACAAGATTCATGTTGTTTTGTTCATGGCTAATTTGATTTCGTTTCTAAAATAATGAATGAGTTATGATTTAAATGAACATAAAATTGGGGCACCTACACATAGAAATTTGCATGATAGCTTCAAAAAGAACATTTCTGTGATCGAAAACTTCCATATTTTGCCATAGAAAACTGGCTGCCATTAACATGCATTTCATTTGATTGCTAAGATATGCTTATGGTAAAAATCTTTTCCTGGTTAAAAACGATCTGTTTACTATAAAACTTTCATTTAAGATATTCATCCAAAGCAAACAAAAAGAATTTCGTTTATTCATCAAAACAAATTACAAACTTTGAAATGGCAGTAGCATTACCTGCTGATATGCGGTATGAAAATCGATGCAGATGCTTTGATGTGATGCGAAGTTGCCAATATTAGAAACGCTTCGTCTCTTTTCAAAATTACGCATCAGAATTGTCTTTATCAGATAGTTTCTCTGGTTATTCAAAAAAAAAGCTTGCTGAATTGCAACTGGTGGCTGCACTCTTTCTATTACCTGCCTTTTCAATGCAGCAATAAGATTGATAATGAATATGAGGGTCTATCGCTTGTGGCAGGTGTAGAATCATCTGATTTCAACCTTACGGCTTGAAATTTTGCATTGATATTCACGATTCACCAAACATGCATCACGTGTCTATTCGTATGTCGGTTGCTTTGAACACCTACAGATGCGGTGTTCACAACACAGCAAAGCTTTGTAAAAATGTTTAACTTTTTGTTTAAATGTTACCCAGAAAAGAAAGCAGTTTCTCATCAACTTAAATTTGTGACCAAAAATCAAATCATAATTAAGGTTGCTGGTTTTATTGGACAGCGCACAGGCCCGTCAATAGAATATCCAGAAGCAAAACAAAAACAGACTGGATTGTATTGTCTGTAAAAAGTTAATCATTTCTGACCAAATACGATTTATCGGTAGAGAAAAATCGTCTTTGTATAGTGTAAGTTCGTATATCAGTTCCATGCAAAATATAAATTCATTCTAAGTATTTAATGGGAGGAGCTGGGGATGAATCGGGGATTTCATCTATAGTTCATCTTGGGGTCTATCTGGGGTTGCATTTCGGGCTACATCAGGGGTGCATTTGGGAGTAAAATTCTTGGCAAAAATTGTTGGAACATCTAAACAAGTATGAAATGGGAGAATATGGGAGATAGTTTTTATGGGAGAATACTTTCTACAACATTATTCTCCCATAACATTGCTCTTAAATCATTATTGAAACGCCTTCACTTGGACGATCAACATTAACACGGGGAGGGTATATGAAGAATATAAGTGAAAAGCACTACAAAAGGGGTACAAGTTGGGTGCCACAAAACACTGAAATTTTTCTGTCCTTATCCTTATCGCGACTTCCATACATTATGAATGGGTTACGGGTCCTTATCCTTATCGCGACTTCCATACATTATGAATGGGTTACGTGTCCTTATCCTTATCGCGACTTGAAAAACATTATGAATGGGTTACGTGTTGGGTGCCACCTGATGATTTTGTCCTTATCGCCATCGAAACACTGTAGACGAACTGAATTAGCAACAGGCTGGATGCAAACAAAGCTTCCCTTTGCGATACTTCGACAACAAAACTTATTCAAACCAACCTCAAAATGGCGAGAAAATAATCTAAGAGTTGGCATAAATGGAGACCAATTTTGTTATGAACCTTAATCCAGTTCAGCTGTAAACAGTGACAAACAATGAGCTCCTTTTCTTTTGCATTCTTAAGGGACAAACTGTCAAAGAATGGTGAGGGGACAGTTGCCCCAAAGGCCTTAAAGATTTTGTTATTGACTGTGAACAACCCTGACACTGTGGAGTAATTATACCATGAAGGAACAGTGAGCCTAAATGGCCATAGCTCCCAAGGGTCGGGGGTTACATTGTCAAAAAACATGAAGGCGTAAAGGCTACATCCAAAGGTACCGGCTCAGTTTTTGCAAGAAAATCCGAATAAGCGGTAGAAAAGCAGCTACATGATGCAACTTCATGACATAGTTTACAAAACCTGGCATTGTCCTCACCATATACTCAGAAGGATTCAAAGGCCGTGGAAGCAAAAGAAATTACCAGCTGAATTCCTATTTGTGATTGTGCTTTAGCAGCAAATACATCAACATTGAACAGGGCGATAGCACATCCTGAAGCTCGATATTTGGGCCTACCCCGAGTGGTTATA